AAATTCATGCAAATTTTTATCTGTAGATACCAATGAATATACTTATTAGCTTATAGTTATGTTAAATATTATTTTGATTTAGAAAGTAAGCCGTTATGAGGGTTGGGCTGATGGGCAGCAGTAAATCTGCTGCCAAGATTCAAGGATGGTATCACAAATTTAAACAATGTTTTATCAGTGAATGTTTTTAGTACGAGTAATTTTGACTTAAGAATCGCAGGCTGATCCTTTCTATCCCCCACACCTTTCCAGGAGTTATATACTGGTATGGAATAACACAACCACTTCATTTATCATTTATCATTTATCACTTCATTTATGTACGATTACAACTTGAGATATCAAACCATGTCAATAGATGTGTTTAGGATTGGCTTAATGTTATAAATATAGTCATTACAATGTAATTGATTAAATAAATGTAACTCTCATTTAATTGGCTTGTCTCAATCTGCCTTGGCACAGAATAAGATTAATCTGTCTATTGTGTAGTTGTGAATGTGACTATTAATCAAGCAGATATAAGAGCGACACAACAAAGAAAGAAAGTATTTATTTATTTGTATTTATTCATTTATTTAAAAAGCTAAATCTGACAATTAACCAGATCACAATAAACTGAGTACCTTATCAACAAAACAAAAATAATAAGGTAGTTGGGGAAAAACAATCGGTTGACCCACAAACTAAAACAAATCATTAGACATTCTTCTTTTAGATTGTTATTATTATTATTATTGTTATTATTATTATTATTATTATTATTATAGTTATTGTTATTGTTAATATTGTTATTGTGAGAATACGATTTTAAATAATTGCCATATATTTCTTCGACGCTGTTAAGGTAAAAAAAGGTAAAAAATATTGTCATTTTTTTATTTTTATATATTTGATATATCAAAAGATGCAGAAATAAATTAAAAATATAGGGTCACCGAACTCAGTTTGAAGAAAATCAATCAATCAATAAAATAGAGTGAAAATAACATGTTTTGTTTACCATTCTTTTATATGACAAAGATATATCGCAATATCAGACAATTTTAATAGGTGACATGTGGTGAAAAAAGAATAAATGTTTTTTTTTTGTGGTTTATGGAAACCGCTGATAAAAAGACATTTTATGCATATTATTTTACTGTTTTTCCAACAAGAAAGTCCAGGGGCGGATACAAGATTTTTTTTCAAACTTTAAAATCGCCAGAGTAAGTTAATGATTTTTTTTATATTATACAATAACAAATTGAATACATTTTTCATCCGGACCCCAAGACCCCCCCCCCCTAGATCCGCCACTGAAGTCCACATACTATTGAAATGGTGTCACTGCTTGTCACTAAAATATGCGCACATGTTCGGTTAACTGATACGAGTAAAATCTGAACGTTTAACAAAAACAAAAATGTATGTTTATTGAACGTAAAATATGTACGTGGTCATTATTGTGATTCGATATTCGGAACTCGATGTCCGTAAGGGACGACGTCAAAAGATCGATGTCGGATAAAAAACTTATCTCTTTAGTTTGGGGGTGGGGGGTTTTGACCTCAAAAAGTTTCCATCCTACAAAAACGATTTTATTTTTTAATGAAGTCAAAAAAATCTTGGAGTATTTGTAGTTCGTTTTTTTTCTATCCAATCATGGACAGAAATAACCGAAAAAGGAAAAAAAAACACAGAAAAAATGGTTTGGTTCGAGTGTAAATCTGTGCGTCAAATGAGGTGCATTTGTAAACTCTTTTTACACCCACCCGACAACCAACTGCTATGCAATACTACTGTCCGATTATCAATTTGTATTTAATGGTGTATGTATCTGACGCCATGACCAATATTTATCAATTAAGTTTCAGTGGGGGGTAGAGGGGTTTGGAAAAAAACTAAAGGAATTAAGTTTTTTATCCGACATTGATCTTTTGACGTCGTCCCTAACCCGAACAATTCAGCTTCTTCGTCTGTCTGCACTCTTACAAAATACCCGGATGAGAAAATAACGTAAGCCCAGCTGAATGGGGTCAATGAACGCAGCTGAACCGCCATCTCGCACACGGGTAGTCGTGCGTTAGTCGTGTCCTCTGCTGTAATCAAATGTCGTATTCGGCCCCGGCCTAGCTGTTCAGAAGGTATGTCCACTCAGTCAGAAACAGACTACGGCCAAGGCGGGGAGACGTCGATGGCGTTTGATTGCATAGAGGACCGTTTAAAACGTATTTTATATCACCACGGTAACGTTGTCGGTAAACGTCCTTTACTGTTCATAATTTTGCCAGTTTTGTTTTCTCTTTTACTGGCGTTAGGTGGTCTATGTTTTCGCTTTAATAACGACGTGGAATACCTATTCACTCCGATAAATGGGCCGGCGAAAAGGCACAGGGAACAAGTCCAGATGTATTTTCCGATGAATTATGATAATCACTTTCTCCCAAATCGACAGAACGACGTCGGGAGATACGTCAGTGTTTATGTCACTACAGAGACCTGGGATGGAAACATTCTGACAGCGGAAATATTGGATGAAATATTGAAACTCCACAAAAACATCATAACTGTCAAGACAACATGCGACGACAAAGTGTATTCTTACGGGGAGCTATGCGCCAAGTGGAATTCTAAGTGTGTACCACCGAATCCAATATTTGATATTTATAACTATCAGGCTAAACATATTATGAATTTCACCTACCCACTCTTGGTGTCGGAGGCAAATACCAAACATTTCATCGGCGGCAGCCTGGGAGGTGTCCAATTCTATGACAACACCAGTATCGTGAAATCAGCGACGGCCATAACGCTGTACTACCCTCTCAAACCTTCTCCCAAAGACATCGATTTGGCGAGTGGTAAACTGGAAGAAGCTTTTTTTGAAATGGCAATCAAATATAAACCAGCTAAAATCAGTTTCACTTTTACGATGTCCCAGGCATTAGCCAATGACCTTGACGAGATGACAGTGCGAATGATTCCAAGAATGGTACTGTCCTTCGCTGTTTTGACAGTGTTCTCAGTGCTCTCGTTAATGATGATGGACTGGGTAACTAGTAAACCTATACTTGGATGTTTGGGAGTAGTATCAGCATTATTGGCAATAGTGTCGACCGTCGGTCTTTTGAGTTTGTGTGGTGTACCATTTATACATTTGAATATTGCCATGCCGTTTCTAACACTTGGTGAGTACACTTTGACTTCTAGTATGATCATTGACTTCTCTGAAACTTGTGTTCAGTCGATTTCATTCCCTCATGATATCTACATACCGGTAATAATATCTAATATCTACATGATATCTACATACCGGTAATAATATCTAATATCTACATTACAAATATCTTTAATATAACTTTTCCAAAACCTCAAGAGGGTGATATTAAAAAAAAATCTAAAAACCATAAATCCAAGCCAAATTATTTTAATATAACAATATAAATTTATGTGCGAAAAAATCAATCCAGTTTTGAAAATAAAGTCGCAATATTGATAGTTCAAATCTAACAGTTTGTTATGGTAAGCTAATATTAATATTGCTAACTTTTTAGCAATACTCAGAGTTTTATATTGTTAGTTGGGTTGATTTTTCATTCACAGTAACTAATTTGCATATTTACAGTTAAGGACTAACAACATTTTATCCTAGATTGTGAATTTGATAAAGAAAGAGGGGAGCTGCTGTTTCAAGAAATAGGAATTAAAAATAAACTAAATAAAACAGACAATTTCATTAAAATAATGACGTGCTTTATACTCCTAGCAAAGTTTCTAAATAAGGCAAAACAGAAATCATGTATATGGGAACTATCACCTCTACATTGGGAGAATCTTGTAATTAACATTAAATTTTTTCCTATTAGGCTTTTAACATCTCCTATTATTAATTAATTTAATTTTAACTTATCATAGTTTAGCTGCTGTATTTTTTTATGATTTGTATTTTATTTTATTTACCATACTGCCCCCACTGATGGCATAAGTAATGTAATAAAATTATTACAATGTATTATTATTATATTCAGAATTAAATTGTTACTAAATGTTTGAGAAAGCCATGAATGTTTTTTCTCGAAATTTACTTAACATTTTTTCAGAATACCTCAAACTATATTCAAATCAAAATCATTAAATAGAGAATCCTTTTAGAAGGGCTAAAAAAATTGTTTCTGGTCAGCATACCCTCTTGTGTACTGTGAAATATTTTAGCGAAAAAAAATGCTTATGAGGCTCTGTGCCTTGCCAATGGGCACATAAAACAAATCCCATCAAATTTATTTAAAACATTTCAAATTATTTTTTCACAAATATGTATTTCATAATTCACATACATAGAACATGATGAACCTTGATTCATATCATTTTTTCTTCAGATCAGATTCAAAATGGATGACTGATGGCCATTTTGTTGAATGCTGTTCCAGAGCAATAACTCTGACATACATTGACCTATCTAGTTCAATAAAACTACACAAAAATGCATAAATATATTGGCTTCAATTTGTATCATATATCTGTCATAGGAGTGTAAAGACTTGAATGAACCAGCAAGAACAGAAACACCAGTGTACTGATGTATTCTACTATCATACCACATCCATACTAACTTCAATTGACACAATTAAATAGGTCATTGCTTTCTTCTGCATTGTATCAAATTGTTTCTTTCATAATCAGCCCTTTTTTTGTGATTTGAACAAATATTGCTGACTGGTGGCCATTTTTTTTATGAGTTCCATTCCAGTTTCTCTTGAATAAAATTACCCTTTCTGTTTAATTTTACTGCATAGATAGAATATCAAAATATTTTTTCCAACATTTTTGTTGTTATTAATCAATATGGCCGACTGGCTAATTTTATGTAAAAGTGTTAAATTTTCCTTTTTGATGTCTTCAGGGTTGTTTCACGGAGATGACTGAGCCTATTAGGATTAAAGTTGGTATAATGATCATACATGTTGGGTTACAGGTGGACATCTTTTTTTGTGATTCAACCAAATATGGTTGATTGGTGGCTATTTTCTATTTTATGGTGTACATGCCAGTTCCTTTTGATTATCTTTGTTTAATAATCTCTATAAGTACATTGATAGAATACCAAGCGATACATCTGTGCCAACAGAAAGGCTAAGCTTGATACAATACATGATTATATGTAATGACTTGATATATTGAAAAAAAACAAATCTCAAATCACCAACAATTCATAATTTCTTAAATATACTTTCATTATCTTTCACTTGTGATCTATGTTTTTATTTGCTATATCTTACGTGTATGTTGAACACATAAAGACAATGTTGAAAAAATTTGACAGAGACTGTGTTATTTTCAAAGATTTGTCAACTGTCATTTGAATTTTATTTAAAAATTTATAATTATTATACATCTGTCACCGTAACGCAATAAGTTACAGCATGTCGTAATTATGTGGTATTTTACGGGGTATTTTCATCGTACCTTATTAGGAAATGGAAATTCCAAATATGGAATGATTACGCACATAAGCGTCCTCTAATAATATAAACAAACATGGCTGCCACCAGTGTTTGGCCGAACTGCACACAAAGAAGTTCGCTGATTCTGTTCCAAACTTTTTGGATTTTGGCATTCCCATGATGTATCCTTGGAAGGAAAAGATGTATAATAATAAGGTTATTACGAGGATACCTCAAAGTATGCATGAAGACAGTATGCTGGAGTATCGACCTCCACGCATCGTAATAACCTCATAATATTTATAAATATTTCATAAAAAAAACAGTCATGCCTGTATGAACAGGGATGTATTAACAGGCATTTGGCAGCACCATGTGTAGATTTGTTTGGTTTTGCAACCACGTTTTTGGCAGTTACAGAATGTTGATTTAGTCAATTTTGAACCACAAAAACGCCACGCTAAACAGACACCTAATATCAACAACACCACAATATAAATTACATTGTACACAGGTTTTCATTGATCAAATTAATTATGAAAGTTTCCTTAACCAATTCAATTCTCAGTCTTTAAAGTTGGCATCGGTGTGTGTATTAAGGTAAAAGCCTAGTCATATTTTTTGACAAAATTGGTCATAAATCGCATGACAATGTTCATTAGTTTATTATGTACAATCATGAAGCTAATGTCCCATGGTATAATGAAATAGCATTATTTTGTGTGTTACAGTTATGCTTTTTGAGAAACGTGTCCCAATATTACTTAAAAATTGCTATTTTTAGAACAATTCCATAGAACATAATGTTAAAAGAAAATTGCATTTTTTGACACTTTTTAAAACCCAGATTTTTTTAATAATTCAAAACAACAAAAGGTACCCCATCATTAACAATATATGATTTTTTCAGCCTATGTCACCAGGCTAGATTGTGAGATATTGCATAATATCTCTGCCATAGGAACTTGTGGTAAAAGTGTTATAATAGTGTCAAAATGGCGACTTTCCACTAAAATACAACCATCCATTTCTCGAAAAAAAGGCTGGTGACCCCCAACTTTTTTTAGGTCAATATCCAATATATAATTTATTGCAAAATGAATAAATTCTGGGTTTTTTAATTTATGAGTAGGCTTCTACCTTAATATGCAAGTGATGCCAAAATGCATCCGAATGTGGATGACATGGCAGATATACTGTAATGATAATTTGCTTATTTTCATGTCCTGTTCAAAAATTGAATTTATTCTGCTCATGGCCTACAATTTGAATATATAAATTACGAAAACTGTCAAACTTTATGCTTTAAATTTTCCCTTACTTTCAAAATAAAGCAGTTTACAGAAATCACTTTCAGTCTTAGTTTCTGGAAATTTCAGGTTGGCTGACTTGATTCTATAAATAGAATGTGTACGTGTACCTAGTCTTCACAACCATTTTAGATAATTCATGCATCTTACTCATGTTTGTTTTTTTTTAAATAATTTTCAGTTCAATATTTTACTGGATTAAAAAACATAATGAGAAACAATAGACATATTTTGTTTAAACAAGAACAATGATTCCATGGTGCAATACAAGGGATTTTTTGAAATTTATAAACACATTCACTCCCCGGAGGGAATGGCAGTAGTTACAGATAATAGTCAAAATATACAGCACTCGG